TAACTGCTTTACCAAAATTCTCCACATTTGCTTCTTTTTTGTTTTGTTGAGTCTTGCAACGCCTGAGAAATCACATGCCTACTACTCCTGCTGGTGCACAATCTGTCTGCTTTGGCATCATAGAAAGCAACTATTTCTGTCTGCTAAAACACCTTTTCCTTTTTGTGCTTTGTTCTGTTTACATTTCCGCTATTTTCCAATAGTATTTCCAATTAGTATTTCAATAATACCAGAACAATCATGTTTAATCTCTGTGAGTGGTTATCTGAGCTGAGGAGTTACACAGAATTAGGATTTTAATTATGTAAAAGTTCACTGCTTTGTAGTTTTATTAAGACTGAGGTGATCTTAATAGGTTTGTTGAAGTGTTACTCTATGGAAAACTGTGTTAATTAGTCCTGCAGAAACAGACTGGTATCTACATGCTTTGTCACTGTGGTTCACCCTCCTGTAGAAAAATCACTTCAGCACCACTGATCATCCTGGTGAAGTCCTCTCCTTCAGCTCCATCCTCTCCTACAGGGGATTTATACACTTCTCTGACCTTTAACCCTCATCTGCCTTCACAGGTCGTCTCAGTAATGAGCCATGTGGCTCTCACTAATCAGGACCCCAAGGCCGTCCCATCCTCAGCTACACGCTCTTCGATCCAGCCATCTGGACACCATGCCTGCTCTGTCTCCACTCTGCTGCCGATTTATGCCCTCCTGAGGTGTTTTGCCTTTTAACTCACACATAATTACCCCCCCACAGATGCAACAAAGATGTGGAGGCCAGTTTTTATTGGTTGCCAAACAGAGGTCATTGTTTTGGTATCGCTTTCTGTCAAGAGTAGAGCTGACGTAGAGACAGACTTTGTTCCCAAGAATTGTGTGTGAGAGAAAAAAACAAAAAAACAATGGAAGGCCAAGATAAGAAGAGCGATGAGTTGATGGAGAGGAACGCTGAGAGTAACGTTCATGCTGATTCACTCAGCTGTTTCAAGTTTCTGTTCCCGGCCAGGACGACCCATGGTGCTCTGAATCTGTTAGAGTCCAACGGTGAGACTCACAGCAAACTTTAGAGATGGAAGCAGCTTAGCTGGATTTAAAGGCTGATGAATTCCTCATCATCTATCTGTCCATCCATCCATCCTACCATCTATCCATCCATCCATCCATCATCCATCCATCTATCATCCATCCATCCATCCATCCAATCATCCATCCATCTATACATCCATCAATCCATCCAATCATCCATCCATCCATCCAACCATCCATCCATCATCCATTATCCATCCATGCATCCAACCATCCTACCATCTATCCATCTATCCATCCATCCATCCAATCATCCAATCATCCATCCATCCATCCAATCATCCATCCATCCTACCATCTATCCATCCATCCATCCATCCAATCATCCATCCATCCTACCATCTATCCATCCATCCATCCAATCATCCATCCATCCATCATATCCTCCATCTAGCCATCCATCCATCCATCCATCCAATCATCCATCCATCCATCCATCCAATCATCCATCCATCCATCATATCCTCCATCTAGCCATCCATCCATCCAATCATCCATCCATCCATCCATTCATTCATCCACCATCCATCTATCATTCATCCAATCATCCATCCATCCATCTGTCCATCCATCTATCATCCGACCATCTATCCATCCATCCATCCATCCATTCATCCAATCATGCATCCATCCATCCATCCATCCAATCATCCATCCATCATCCATTCATCCATCCATCCATCCAATCATCCATCCATTCAATGATCTACCATCCATCCATCTATCCATCCATCTATTATCCATCCAATCATCCATCCATCCAACCATCCATCCATCCATCCATCCATCCATTCATCCATCCATCCATCCAATCATCCATCCATCCATCATCCAACTGTCCACCCATCCATCCATCCAACCATCCATCCATCCATCAACCATTCAGCCAATCATCCATCCATCCGTCCATCCATCCATCTATCATCCGACCATCTATCCATCTATCCATCCATTCATCCAATCATGCATCCATCCATCCATCCATCCATCCAATCATCCATCCATCATCCATCCATTCATCCATCCATCCATCCATCCAATCATCCATCCATCCATCCAATCATCCATCCATCCATCCATCCATCCAATCATTCATCCACCATCCATCCATCCAATCATCCATCCATCTATCATCCGACCATCTATCCATCCATCCATCCATCCATCCATTCATCCAATCATGCATCCATCCATCCATCCATCCATCCATCCATCCATCCAATCATCCATCCATCATCCATCCATTCATCCATCCATCCAATCATCCATCCATCCAACCAATCATCCATCCATCCATCCATCCATCCATCTATCATCCATCCAATCATCCATCCATCATCCATCCATCCATCCATTCATCCATCCAATCATCCATCCATCCATCATCCATCCATCCATCCATTCATCCATCCAATCATCCATCCAACCATCCATCCATCCATCATCCATTCAGCCATAGTGATGGAGGCATCATCGGCTTCTGTCAGTGAGCCCCAGGCAAGCTGTGGCAACAATGTAGTGCCACCATCAGTGTGTGAGTGTGTTTGTGAATGGGTGAATGAGTGAATTCCATGTAAAGTGCTTTGGTCAAGTCTCCTGACTGGAAAAAGCGCTATATAAGTACAAGCCAATTATCATTTACCATTGGATTATCATTTATTATAGGGGTTGAGGAGTCTGGGCAGATATGATAGACGATGGAAGGATTTGCAGGACCATGCTGGAATAAAATCAACTTGGATCCAGGGTGTTGGAGTCCAGTGCTCCAAAACAACCATCCTGGAGAGTTAGATGGTCCCTCAGTACTTCCTCATTCAGTTCAGCAGAGCACTGGTAATGAGCCAATCAGTGTTTTGGGTTAGGAATATGCTTCATTTTAGAATCTATGGCAATGAAGTTCAGGTTGGTAGAGACAAAAAAATGCCCCTGTTATTTCAGAAAATGGTGTTTGTAAAAAGAGTTTTATTCAGAAAGGTTTAAAGGGATAGTTCGGTATTTTTGACATGAATCTGTATGGCATCCCCATCACCAGCGGCATGCAATCACACTGACTTACCCCTGACAGCGTCCTGTGAGCAGAGTTATCGTCCAGTTTTGGTCAAGCCGAAAGTAGTCCTGCAGGTTTTTAGGAACAGCGAAATAAAACTTTTCTCGTCATGTCTCCCTCCGCGGCGGAGGGAGACATGGCTGTTGTTGGGCTCGCTGTCTGAATGACGGCGCGCACTGATACGAACAGAGAGAAAATAGGACCAATTGATAACGACGTGTGACTTTTTCCACTACAATGTTTTTGGGATGCGAAAATATCACTCTTTTGGACACAATGTTTTGGGAAGAGAAAAGTTTTATTTCGCTGTTCCTAAAAACCTGCAGGACTACTTTCGGCTTGACCAAAACTGGACGATAACTCTGCTCACAGGACGCTGCCAGGGGTAAGTCAGTGTGATTGCATGCCGCTGGTGATGGGGATGCCATACAGATTCATGTCAAAAATACCGAACTATCCCTTTAAATAAAATGTAGGACTTATTTTTGTGAATACAATTCAACTAAATTCAGTTTATTTATATAGCGCCCATTCACAACACATGTCACTTCAAGGACCTTTACAATTCAACCACATAATACAGTCAAATTTATTCAAAGTTTTCTATCTAAGGAAAACCAGTTGATTGCATCGACTCATTGACTCGAAGGCAATCCCTCACACTAAGCATGCTTATAGGGACAGTGGAGAGGAAAAACTCCCTTTTAATAGGAAGAAACCTCCAGCACAACCAGGCTCAATGTGAGCGGCCATCTGTCTGAGGAGGCAGAAGCAGAAATAGAAAAAGAAGCAGAGATACAAAAGGCAACTGTCAACCAGTTCCACAGGCGGCCCCGTCCATGAAACACACAGCCAGGCAGACGAGCTCAGAGCCAGCTCCAATGTCAGAGGATGAAAGAGAGCACATCTACTCTGAAAAACAGGCCCATCTCGAATGTCTATAAGCAAAGATGTTGATGGCAGCAGCACAGCTGATATTTCTCTCCAGGATGGTGTCACAGCCAAACAGGAACAGACCAGATAAAGCAGAAGAAAAACAGAGAGCATAGTGTTAAAGAATACTGAAAATGAAAAACATTCAGCACTTTCTTTCCACTGTACTCTGTTGTTTCCTTGTCTCAGTCTGTCTAATAAATGACAAATTAAATGATTTGAATAGAGTTTAAATGTATTTTCATTACATTGTCAAGTACAAAGCAATGAAATGCATTTAACCCATCCCTTAGGGGAGCAGTGGGCTGCCATTGTGCGGTTCCCCGGGGAGCAGTGTGGGTTTTAAGGGTCTTGCTCAATGGCTGTGGGGATTAAACCGGGTACTTGCAACCTTCTGAGCACAAGGGTACTGCTCTAACAACTAGGCCGACACTCTTTAAAGTTAGTCCAATTTAAACTAATTTCAACTAGTTTAAATTTAACCTAATTTAAAGCTAGTCGTAACATGAAGGCAAACAAAGAATGTTTAATTTCAAATTCACACCGAAGCACAGGATTCATCTCTGATTTATTTTCAGATCCACAAACTTAATTCAAACCTCTGACCCCTGGTACTAGCCTTTTAGGGATCTCATAAAGGAAACCACCAAATAATGTCATTATGCAGGATACAATACAACTTTGACCATTTATTGTTGATATGATAATCTAGAATTTAAATTCACTAGATATTTTAAACAGGCCAAAAATAGGATTATTTCGATCTGAACTTTTAATCATTTTTATTTTAAAAAAAACCTGCCTTTATATACATGTATAGAAAATAAGAATGAATACAGTGACATTCTGACACCATAATACCAAGGTTTGACAGTTTTTCCAAGTTTTTTTTTTTTTTTTTTTTTTGTTCAGGCGGTGTTTGGGACTCTCTCTTTGCTTCGGGTCCTTCACGTGGCAGTGGTAAACAAAGATGGCGGAAGTGTTTGGAGCTACTTTCTGTGTTTCTGTGAAGTTTTCTATCTTGGCTCCCCAGCCTGTTAGCCGGGTGTGTTAGCGGGGCTCCTCTAGGGGCTCCTCTCCGCCTGAGGCTGTAGGATGAGCGGCTGGGCGGGTTTTTCTGACGAGGAGCTGCGGAGGATCCAGCAGAAAGGTAAAACAGCCACACAGTCTGATGATTATATCCGCTTTAACATTGAAACACCTGCCCAGGTTTCTCTCCTCAGACTCCGCCGGACCTCCTGGTGCTCCCCGCGGAAGGAGGCCCCCAGCCGCCGGCCGGAGCAGGCAGAAGATGCAGCGGGAGAGAGCACTGCAGTTAGCCGGCTCACAGAGCCTCCTACCAGGTCAGCAGCTCAGCAAGCCGCCGCTGACGCTGGATGGTCAGCCTCCAGAACAGACAGGAGCTCCTGCTGAACAGACAGGCGCTGCTGCTGTCAGACAAGAGGAGCAGGAACCTGCTGATATGAAGCCGAATGAGATCCACCATCCGGCTGCAGAGAAGAAGGAGGAAGAAGAGGAGGTGAAGGAGCTGGACAAACAGGAGGTTGAACTGTGAGTTTACCCTAAAATATTTAAATGATCATTTATTTGTTTTATACATCATTAAAAACAGCTGGTCAGTGAAATAAAGTTTATTTAAAAGCTCTGGAAGTCTCTGGTGAACACAGTGAAGGTCCCACAGCAGACAGACATCCCACTGGAAACTACAATACCCACAATGCACCTCCACCGGCCTTTCTCCTTCTCTTGGTTAGAAGAATTGACATGTATACATTGTTTCCTCTATCCTTTACTTTCTGTACAGTTTGCCTCGTCTGAACTACCATATCAATGTGTTTTTTTTTTTGCACCATGATTTTTCTGCCACACTGTTTACATTTAATCAGTGCTGCACTTTATGTATTGGAAATGTTCAATTACTGTCTGAAAAGCGGTGCTTAACAAAATTTAGTTTTGTATACACTCTGTGTATACAAAATGACAATAAAAGTCTAATTCTGAGCTGCGCTGTAATACAAACATCAGGCGGCTCATGCTGCCTCACACCTTCAGGGAGTTTCCAGGAAGTCAGCCTATTAATTCAGGAACGTTTTGTTCACTTATGTGCATTCATGTGAAATCTTATGTTTAATTACAATTACAGGAGAGAAAAGACACGTCTGGAGCAGCTGCAGCAGGAACAGAGGGAAATCGAGGAGAGGAACAAACGCAAGAAAGCTCTTCTGGCTAAAACCATCGCTGAGAAGTAAGCAATGCTCGTTAGAAGCTCGAAGGGGGGCGGTTCCTGCTTATGGAGGCAGAAACATCATCTCAAACATTTGCTGCTCTGTTCAGATCCAAACAGACTCAAGCTGAGGCGGTGAAGCTGAAGAGGATCCAGAAGGAGCTGCAGGCACTGGATGACATGGTGTCCAATGACATCGGTATCCTGAGGGGCAGAATAGAGGAGGCCAGCTGGGACTACAGCGCTGCAAGGTTGGAGACACACAGTGAAACCCACACAGGTCCAATAGGTCTGGTTCTGAGTATAGATGTCAAAATAAAAGTCTGGAAATAGGAACTGGTCCCTCTGAGGCGTCTCAGTGGTTCCCCCGATCACTATGGGTTAGATTAATGAGATCTGTGGGAGAGGAACTACACCAAGGTGGTTGCAGTACATAAGCAGGACTGGTTCCAGAACCTGTCGGTTTTTTCCAGCTACTTGGACTCGTTATCACGTACTTCTAAAGTTTAGATTCTTTTTCTGCTCTTTGCTGAGTGATACCGGCTTGATCAGAGGCCCTGTGTGGTTCTGCTTCCTCCTCCCCTCTTGGTTCTGTTGCAGACCGTCAGTAAATATCCAAACTAAATGCTCTGATAAACAAAAGATAATTTCTTTCATGTCTTGTGCCTCACTGACACTAAATAAAATCCAGCTCATACTTTTAGACTAGAAAGACGACGCACAATTGTGTTTGTTGAATTTTTTCTTATTTATTTTATTCTTCTTTTTGGTCATGTGATTGAGTGACACCAAACTGATGTTGTATCATCAGACCGGATGACGCAGGCTGGTATTTATCCTATTTTACTGCATTTCCTTTCTTTAAATGAATGTTTTTAATAAAGAACATCGTGATTAACTTTTATTTAATATTATAACCAAATCATTTATTTACTGTCAGTCCCTAAGTGAAGGACAGCTGCTGACCTCAGTTCTCCTAAATTACATCACATCCTCTGCTAAGTCAACAGCAGAAGTCAGATGCAGTTACAGCTTTTTAACCTGAGGAGAGCGCCAAACAGATGGTTTTAGACACAAAAGCAGGATTTCAACAAATGAGCAATTAAATGTTGCAATAATGGCTGGAACATGTAGACAGCTGTAGAAGACAGTTTGTCAGCAAATAAAGGGGACTTAGGGGTGAGTCGTCCTTTAATGGAGGCCAGCCGATTTAATCACGGCTCTGAGGTTAACTGCAGAAATTCAGATTTTATGTCATCTCTCCTGTCATGAGTCCCTAACATGGCGCCTCCTGCAGACAGTTTAAGGAATCGTCTTGCAAATGTGTCATTCTGAGGCATCTTAACAAAAACCTAAACTAGAGAAACATGACCTTTCAGTCTATCTGTCTGGTCCCTGTGTCTGTCCGATCCCTGTGTCTCTGTCCGATCCCGGTGTCTCTGTCCGATCCCTGTGTCTCTGTCCGATCCCTGTGTCTCTGTCCGATCCCGGTGTCTCTGTCCGATCCCGGTGTCTCTGTCCGATCCCGGTGTCTCTGTCCGATCCCTGTGTCTCTGTCCGATCCCGGTGTCTCTGTCCGCTCCCTGTGTCTCTGTCCGATCCCGGTGTCTCTGTCCGCTCCCTGTCCCTGTGTCTCTGTCTGCTCCCTGTGTCTCTGTCCGATCCCGGTGTCTCTGTCCGCTCCCTGTCCCTGTGTCTCTGTGCGGTCTCTGTCCAGTCTCTGTCCAGTCCCTGTGTCTCTGTCCGCTCCCTGTGTCTCTGTCCGCTCACTGTGTCTCTGTCCGCTCCCTGTGTCTCTGTGCAGTCTCTGTCCGCTCCCTGTGTCTCTGTGCAGTCTCTGTCCGCTCCCTGTGTCTCTGTGCGGTCTCTGTCCGCTCCTTGTCTCTTTGTCCGCTCCCTGTGTCTCTCCCTGTGTCTCTGTCCGCTCTCTGTCTGCTCCCTGTGTCTCTGTCCGCTCTCTGTCTGCTCCCTGTGTCTCTGTCCGCTCTCTGTCCACTCCCTGTGTCTCTGTCCGCTCTCTGTCCACTCCCTGTGTCTCTGTCCGCTCTCTGTCCACTCCCTGTGTCTCTGTCCGCTCTCTGTCTGCTCCCTGTGTCTCTCCCTGTGTCTCTGTCCGCTCCCTGTGTCTCTCCCTGTGTCTCGTCCGCTCCCTGTGTCTCTGTCCGCTCCCTGTGTCTCTCCCTGTGTCTCTGTCCGCTCCCTGTGTCTCTGTGCGGTCTCTGTCCGCTCCCTGTGTCTCTCCCTGTGTCTCTGTCCGCTCCCTGTGTCTCTGTGCGGTCTCTGTCCGCTCCCTGTGTCTCTCCCTGTGTCTCGTCCACTCCCTGTGTCTCTGTGCGGTCTCTGTCCGCTCCTTGTCTCTTTGTCCGCTCCCTGTGTCTCTCCCTGTGTCTCTGTCTCCTTCCTACCTGCAGAAACATCTGTTTGGGTTTTATCTCCTCATAGTTCTGGTCTCTGTTGGACAGAACGTCTAGTTCAGGATCTCAGTGTTTGACCTCGCTGCTGATTTTTCCCGGGAAGATGACGGATGTTTGTGTGCCGGGAAGAGAAGCCGACCTTCACCCTCCCGTTACGCCCCGCTCTGCTCTGATTGTGAGGAGTATATTCCTCCTCAAGTCTTTGCATAAAACAAAGAAATGAACCCAGAGTTGAAAATGTTTGACTTTATCTGGTTTGTTGTTTGGATGTTTCCAGAAAGCTTGTGGTGTTCTTCTCTCCTCAATTAAGACAAGGTCTCTGCATCCAGATACTGTGGTTGGAGCCGGAAAAAGTCCGGAGCTGGGGTGGATTTTTAGCACGCTTTCTACTCACAGATTAAAAAATAAATACTTAGAAAATTCCTTAGATGTTTTCCTGACAGGCTGCTCAGCCTGAACCGAGTCTCTGGAGAGCAAAGCGCTCAGACTTCACGTTTCCTCATCGTTGCTTGAAGCAGATGAGGAGAAATGTTTCTGCCTCTGAAGGAACCTAAAGCAAACATCTCAGCATTAATGTTCTGATCAGAAGCTGAGACCTGCTCTAATCTACCAGTTCTGATAGATTAAATGCAGCTGTACACAGGGTCAGAGAGGTTTACATACAGTTTATTAATTGTAGCTGTGGGGTTGTTAGAGTTGGTCAGAGATGCTCCTTTGTGTCAGCATCGGTACGGTGAGACCCTGCCTCATCAAGGAGCCTCTGGAAATAAACTCTACATAAATCCTACAAGGATTTTGCTACAGAACAGAAATGTCTTCAATCTTTTAATGAAAAAGACAGAATCTAAATGCTAGCTCTGGACTTTTACTCCTTTTCTTACTTGTTCTTGTTTTAAAGGTCCTATTTACAGCTTGGAATATCTTTTTTTCAGAAATAAGACCTCCACATAATGTCTATAATGGTGCTGAATAACCGTAATAAATACAGTAATGTATTAAACACTGTTTTTCTAAATTCTTGCAAGTCCAAAATCTATAAATATTTACTTCTGGTTAGGTCGTGTTAGACGGAGCCAGATCCTAGTAGCTCTGTGAGCAGAGGTTGCTGCTTCCCTTCAGGACATGCTAGCTAAATGTTTGCTAATGCTAACAATGGCGATTCGCTGATGACTGACTGGTAGGAGCCAAACTTGCAGTGATCATCTTTAATTTGTGTTCACCTTGATTGAACTCTTCTTCTCAGTTTATCCTCTTGCTTTAATTGTTTGGCCTTTAGTTTGTTAGTTGTCTTTAGTCCTTTTTCTCTGGCTGTGACTAACTTTACATGCTCCATTTCATCCTCTGACATGGGAGCTGGATTGAAGCTCATCTTCCTGGCTGTGTGTTTCCTGTTTCGCCTGTGGAGCTGGTTGACAGTTGCCTTTTGTATCTGAACCCCAGTCGGCCTCGGCAGACGGCTGCATCACGTTGAGCCTGGTTCTATTGGAGGTTTCTTCCTTTTAAAAATGGAGTTTTCCTCTCCACTGTCACCCTAAGCATGCTGTAGAGTTAAGGAGTCGATGCAATCAGCTTGTTTCCCTTAGGTAGAACGTTAACTTTATTTGAATGTCACAAACAAAAAATGAGCAAAACAAAATTCGGAACAAAAATGTTCTCTCACAAAATTAGAGACAACTTTTTCTCAAACTTTTTCTCCACCAAAACCTCTTGAGAAGGCAGTTTCTGTTAAAACTAGTAGATAAAGCATGTAGCATACATTGGTACCTGTTTGGGCACACGTTGCAAATTCACAACATTGAAATCGAGATGCTTCTGGTGGAAAACCCAGAGGAGATAAAATCTACTAATTGACATGTGTCATATCTTTACACATTGAAGATTAATCTTATGTAGTATTGATTTCAAAATAATGGAAATTGGTAGTGATACTTACATGAAATTGGTGCTTAGAAAATCTGTTGCAGTGACACCAAAGACTCAGCCATGTTAAAGGTGAGTCAGCAGTGCTATCTGGTGAGCTGGAGAGAAACAGTTTGTTGCAAATGCACAACTAAGTCCTTCTGTTGTACTTCTGAGTAACAAAAGCTCTTAAAATATGGATGTGGAGTAATTAGCTAAGCGGCATTTAGCTGTTGCAAATCTGCAACATCTGCCTGGAGAGGGTTAACTCCTAATAGCTTGAGGATAAAACATTTTTCTGAACTAGGTCTGGTTCCTGTTCTGGGGGAAAACTGTGTAAATAAATCACGAAAGGATAATAAAGATAATAAACTTCAAACCACCTCCTCTCCTTGTCTGTCCGCAGGAAGCGCTACGAGAAGGCTGAGGCCGAGTACGTGACGGCCAAGCTGGACCTGCACAGAAAGACGGAGGTGAAGGAGCAGCTGGCGGAGCACCTCTGCGCCATCATCCAACAGAACGAGCTGCGCAAAGCCCACAAGCTGGAGGAGCTGATGCAGCAGCTGCAGCTGGAGGCCAGCGAGGAGCAGGAGGAGCAGGAGAGGAGATCTGTAGAACCTCAGAGGAACGGAGGGGAGGGGAGAGCAGAGGGAGAGAGCAGAACCTCCCAGGAAGAGCAGGAGGTACAGCAGGAGACTGAGACAGAGGGGGAACCATCAGAGAACTGTTGTCGGGCAGATCTTCCGGGTTCCTGACGCTCAGATAGGAGGCGGATCTTCCTCACATGGTGGAAAGTATTGGTTCTGTTCTGATCAGATCAGGTTCTAGGAGCTGATCCTTTAGCTCCTAGAACCTGGCAGCTGACCCAAAGAGTCTACGGGTTGTAAAAGAGACTTTGGTTTGGTTCTGATGTTCCTGTCTGAAGTATCCGATCCAGTTGGGGGACCAGAAGCAAACTGAAATAAGTCGGACTCTAACAGGTTCTATAAAAAACCCAAATCATTCCTCCTTTTTCTGTTTAACTGACTCGTTTTATTAGAAGAACCTGATCGGTTCTGTTTTAGTAAAAAGGTTCTCCATGATTCAACGTTCTGGTTTGATAAATAATAATTAAACTTTGGAGAACTTGCTGCTGCAGAGATCAGGAGAACTGGGTCTCCTTTGAAGCTGTTAATCTCCCAGAACCTTCAGGATCAACTAGAACCCCGCAGAGCAGCTCTTAACCCTAAACATGGTCCCGTCCTTAACCCTAAACATGGTCCCAGATCATAACGGACCAGTCCGTTATGATCTGCACTGTGATCAGATGTTAACCTGCGAAGACCAGAACCTCACACTGAAATCTGGGGGACAGGGAGTTGAGAGTAACACTACATGCAGGAGCTTTATAGACTCATTTTAAAGCTGGTTCTGTTTATAGGGATGTTTTCCTTTAATAAAGGTTTAAAAAGCTGCTTCTGTTACTGTGTGTTTTGTCTGGTTCTGGTGTCGGCCCACAGGGGATGAAGCATCTTCAGGACAGGAGCTCCTGGTTTGAGGAGCTTTGGACCAACAGCAGCTGTTTCTGGCTAAAACAAAAGAAAATGTCAAAGTAACTAAATTAACTCCGTTATTTTATAAAGACATCTCGTGTATTTGCAAGTAATATATATTCTTTAATCATTTAGTATTGTTTGTGCTATGTTCTTACCTTTGCTGTTGGACCACATAGATTTGCCAATGAAGGGTGTGTGATTTCAAATTAAATTAGTTTTGATTACTAAGTGAATTACTAAATACCTATATGCGTCACCAAAATAGCCAATAATTTCTGAGACCAGAGAAACAGTAGACCAAAGAAAACTTTCAAGTGTCTAATTTATTTTCTTGGAAGTGTTTTTATTGTTGAAACAGCAGATTTCACAGCATGAGCTGCAGCATTTAGCTGTTGGGGAAGAACCAGCAGGAGTCGCATTGAAAAATGCTTCTGCAAGCGACAGTCACCCAAATCTGACATGGTGAAACACATTTTTCTTGGTCTTTAAGTGGGGGAAGGTCACATGAGCACTCGCCTTGCAGAAAATAAAATCCAGCAATTTCCACGCTATTTCTAAAGACTTCGAGTAAAACGTCCAGAATAAACTTTCTGTCCTGATGGTGCAGGAGGCTGCATTGTGCAGGGGGCGGTTTCAAGAACCAGGTTTAATAAATTCGGACTCAAATCCACAACTCTAAATTTAATTTGCTTAAAGTCTGGAACTCTCAGTTTTCAGTTTACTGCTATCTATTAGTTCAGTCAACTCTAAGTAGGTCCACTCAGAGTTACGTAAATGTGTGACAAGTTTAAAAAGGTATCATCAGTGGAGCCCCGCTTTGGATGAGTCACCATGACAACATGCAACAGAAAGTGTCTATTTCACGCCATTGGAACTAGATTTTAATAAAGAAAAAAAATGCAGAATGTGTTTAAAAGACAAAGAAACAGCTACAGCTGCAAAGAAGAGGAAGATGGAGAAGATTGATTCTTCCTGATCAAAATACACCTAACTAATAATATATTTTCTAAATTATATTTTTTGTAGCAGAAACTGAATTTTAGAGAGTAAAAAAAGAATTGCATTAGTAAGAATTATGTTTTATATATCTAGAAATGTTTGCACATTTTAATTGGTCGTTCTGACAGCTTGATATGTATTTATGATATCTGAAAAACATTTCTTCATAGTCAAAAACAATGCTGACCACTAACAATAGGAATATGGAGATCTATAGTTGGTTTCTAGACATCCAGAATGTTTATTCTAGATGTGAAGAATGTCATTTTGTTTGAAATGGTCATTTTGACAAGGATAAAAAAAGTTTTTTTCAGATATCAGGAAAACATGTTCAGTAGAACTAATACATATCAAAACGGCTTGCCATAGCTTGTTGTGATCAGAATACTAGGAGTTTATTTCTTGAATTGTAGTAGATCAATGTATCTATCTAGGTGAAATCACCCGGCAGCAAAGAAGTATAAGTCTAAAAAAATCTTTCTGTTAGGACCTGTTCATGATCTCATGGGTTCTCTGTCTTCTCACTAGATTCATAAACTCGTGGTAGAATCCTGCCACGCCTCTTCGGCTCTTCACAACCACTATTGAGCATTTTTCCTTGGGATAAACTTTACATACACAAGTGCACTTTCACTAACAACTACAGGTGCTTGGTTTGGTTATTAAATAATACTACTTATACTTCAGTGATAGTATCTAAGTGTGGCTTTATTGTATGTCTCGTACCATGTCTGTTGGTTGTGCTGTTCTTTTTACATTTCTTTGCAGGTGATGAAGCAGACTGAAAATTTTTTATCATTATCTCCATTGTATCTCCTCTTTCTTTCATCTTTTCTCATTTTTTCCTGTTTTTCCTTTCCCATTCTACTTACATTGCAGTGTCCATATAATCTGTAAAACTCCCTGCAGAATTATAATAAAGCAATTTACATGCATAAAACAAGGGTAACACTATGACGATAGCCGTACTGCTCCACTTGTGAAAGTAAAATCTGTTGGGATCTTTTTGGCATCAAGACAATTATTCTTATTGCCACATCACCAGACAGGACACTGTTAAAAAAAAAGAATCCTGCCATGTGGTAGGTATTTACAGGTTCGAGATTTCACCCGCTCTAAATTCACTCAATTTCCAACTCTTACGTCCAAAAATGAATTAGATAACATCCTTGATTTTAACCCTATGAAGAAGGGCTACAGTACTAAACTCTATAACACAGGTACCCCTTGAACCTCTCAAAAGTCGGTGGGAGAATGATATACAGATGTCTATATCAAAGGAAACTTGGAAGCTGGTGATAAAAAGGGTTCACTCCTCTTCAATATGCATGACACACACTGTTATTCAATTTAAAATGGTTCATCGTCTTCATTACTCTAAAGAGAAATTGGCTTTCATCCTGAACTAGACTCAGCCTGTGATAGATGTAGCCTCCATCATATGTTCAGGGCCTGCCTGAAACTCACCCACTTCTGGAAATCTATATTTGATGCTCTAGCCACTATCCTTCAATACCCACTAGAACCTTCTCCTCTGACTGCAATCTTTGACATCGTTCTAGCTGATGCACATCTACATACATACCACTCAGACACATGTAGTGGCATACACTACCTTAGTAGCGAGGAGGTTAATACTGTTTAAGTGGAAGGAGGCCTCCTCTACTACTTATGCTCATTGGATTAAGAGGTTATGCTAATCTGAAGTTATGCAGATTAGATACACTATGAGAGGATCTATATCCAAATTTTATTTAACATGGGAACCATTTATATATTCTGTGGAGAAATTAGATGCTCAATTGATTAGTTGTTCATAAACATAAACTTTAACCTTATAAGGGGACTACAAGGGGTGGGGAATGATGATTACAGTACCTATTTCCAGAATCTGTTTTAATAAATAATAATAAATAATCCCAGTTTAAAAATAATAATACTAATAATAACCCTGCCATGTAGGCCGGGTCCTTGATGACCTTAAAATAAGATGAAGGCTGGACGTGATCATCTATGAATTGGGATGCAGCTTTCAGCAGCAGTCCTGCGCCATCACCTGAACCTGGCAGCATGAGTCGTAGACCTATGAAGTCTAAACATGATCTTTTTTAACATCTTTTTTTCTTATTTGCATATTATTTATCAGAGGAGAACACATTAAAATCAAATCTGAATTAACATGGCATTACTTTTCTGACTGCTCCTATAGAATAAAACATGCAATAAACTCCACATGAGAGAGGTTAATATAAAACTTGCATTTATTATTATTTAGATAAAATAAGCGTCTTTATTTTCATAAATGTGAGGAAACAGGGAAAGCCTTCAGTATTTTCTGTGTATGTTATTTTTATTGGCACTGCAAACAAGGTTTAAAGGTTGAAATCCGATTGGATCAAACTGTTCCCTTGGCTTGAGTTTGAGAACAATCTTATATTGCAGAGGGAAGTACCAGGAAAGTCAGCATTTGTTACTGGAAACCCCCACTTGTTAAAGAAAAAAAAAAAAACAGCCTCACGGAACGGTAATTGAATTGACATTTAAAAAAGGGTGCAATTTAAGAGTTTTTTTTTTCTTTTCTCCTATTTTTTCTCTTCATTTGGGAGCACTTAACAGGCAGGGGAACAAACCAGCATAATCTGACTGAAAAATAAAGATATTCAGATTTCCCATCAGTGAGGCATCTAAATAGAATATTGACAGCCAGGTACGAATGACCAGATGCACCGATGTCTGCGAGACTGTGCAGTAAATTAACACCTGCTGCTGTCCATGTCTTGAACATTTTACTTTTCAGCTCAAATTCCACTTCAAGGAGGAAAGGCTGCGGATATGTTCATGTAATCAGAGTAATCCAAATAATCCAATTTAGTAGCAAATAAGTGCATTCGTTACTTTCCTCATTAGGTGCATCCTAAAGACAATTTGTAACAGTGGCAGATAGAAGATGCAGGCAGAGGAGAAAGAGAAGAGAAAGGACTTTCTCTTTTTGAGTGAACATCTTTAAAATGATAGAAAACAAATACTAGAATCTGTCGCCTAAGATGACTTGGAGCCTCAAACACCACAGAGTGACCTTTAGATCAATAAACTGGTTTTTATCAAACCTCAAGGGGCAGAGTATACCTGCAGCGGCGCTTTATGCACAGGGCTTCTTATGCTGCATCATAACGCAGGATCCAGCTACTGATTTCTATCCATTTGTTTATTTTCTCGTGCTGCTCTTCTTGTTACAGTTTGTAACCTTTGTGTTCATCATTCAAAGCAGCAGCGATCTCAGCCTCTGACCTGAACAGAGATCACTTCTCCTCTGTTGCTTGGCTGCGCAGGGAGCATTAAAGTGCATATTTACACTTACAGAAGGCAGACTCATTCTGTGATAGCTGATGCTTTGTTTGTGGTCTGGATGGACATATAGGGTGAAAGTTCTGGGCTTCACTGGTTTCTATAGCTGAACAGGGGGGATTTAGTTAATGCTCCAGTACCTGCAGTCAGTGAAACCTTGATGTGCCAAGGATGAATGTAAAGGAAAAATTACTTCTAAAGGGATGGAAAATGGAATTAGAAAAAAAGCAGGCAAGGTTAAACCCCCAGATGCATATTATGGCCAAAAAAGAAAAAAAAACACTCAGAGTGAACATATTAATACTTAGTGGGAACAAATGAATATTTTGTGCACACAGGCTCCTTCTTCATCTCTCTTGGAGGCATGAGGAGCACTAACCCACGGACGAAGGCCTCCAAGTTCTTCCTGGATTAAACTGGCCTTATTTCAGCCTGAACTGATAGAGCCTAGACTTCACAGCTGCTTTATCTGACCGTTACATTTAAGGTCAGAGCTGACCTTTAACCCCAAGGTCAGTAGTGGAAGAATTTTTAGAATAAAAAGGCAATCTAAAGGAGAGTAGCCTCTGCTGAAT